AAATACTGGAGGAGCAGCTCTGGCCCACTCAGGTTTTGTATGCAGTTCGGGAAGAAAGTGAGAAAGAAAGAAGCACATAAGAAAGACAGGAAGGCGGAAGCAGAGGTTTCTTTCATTTGTGTTGCTGAATTTCGAAGAGTGATGGTGGGAGTGTATGTGGTGGGGGCAATATCAACCTCATCCTTCCCTTGACCGACACCTATCACTGCACCTGGACTTTCAGGGTGTGTTGACTGTTGCCTCCCCCCACAACCTGTCTGCTGCCCTAAAAAGACGGCAACTTAACAGAAGCATCTTTGGGACGCCACAGAAATCCTTACTGAACACCCGCACACAAAAGTAATCTGTGAGGTGTGTTTTAAAGAAAGAAACAGCTGAAAACTTGAAGACGTGTTTAGAAATATACATACATATACTATTTTCTTGTGGGAGATCTCCTTTGAGCAAAGGTAAGTAGTATATATAATATATATATATACATATATATATATATGTCTAATCACCCCCTCAACAACCCCTCCACCCCATTTTGTCATTCCCCTCCCTTTTCCCCTCATAAAGGTATCACAACATACGACTCCTGAAGAAGACCGTCTGCCTTTTTTTCCTTTAATAAGTGTTGGTGTGGGGGCTGGATTAAGTAAATTCTCTCATCAAATGTATGATGAGTTGCAAAAGCAGGGCACAGGCAAAAGGTAATCGGACCAAGAAGATCTGGCTCTTTATGGCAATCCTTTTGCAAAGATTTCCGAAGGATCTGTAATTAAACTGGGTAGTTTACTCTCAGGAAATGAAGAAACTGCTTGCCTGGCTGGATCCAACCTTTAGCTTGGCTGAGTAAACAAAAGCACAAATTCTTCTTTCACCCCCCCCCCCCCGCGGGAGGGGTGAGACTTTGGGGTTGGGGGGGAGTCAGGAAAACAGGGGGTTTGCTGAGGGTTAATGGTGTTTTTCGCAAAGTGTCAGCAGAAGATGATTAAATTCCACCTCTTGTTCACCAGATCACTTTGTGTGCACTTGTATATTTCATTGTCGGCAACCGCTGATGATCACATCTGTGCAGTACATTAAGTGGCAAGCCTCTTCATCTGCACGGGGTTTTTCTGATGATTTTTTTCTGTGAATAATTCATATGATTATGAAGAGAAAAACTGCTATTTTCTATCTCTCTCTCTCTCTTCTGTAGCACAGATTAAAAAAAAATCTTGCTGTAAATTGCGTGATTGGGGAGATAGCCTGCTTTCAAATAATTTAATTCATGACAAAACCTAATTACTGTCAGGTAATACCCTGTCAGCTTTAATGCATTTCATCAGTCATAATGAAAAGAAGAGCATTTTATGACCCATCTAATTATCATTACATTTTAGGGGAAAATGAATGGCATGGAGCTGAATGTTAACTATTCCATTTTATTCCTTTACACATGTGGTTTGGCATATTATTCACTAAGTTCCTCTCTCTCTCTCTCTCTCTCTCTCTCTCTCTCTCCCCCTCTCCCCCCCTCCTCCCCTCTCTCCCTGCCCCCCTTGCTTTCCAGTATCACTTGCTTACAAGTGTGGGGGAGAAGGTAAAATTGAGAGGAAGAGGAAGACTGAGGCAAAAGAAAGGGGGTGGGATACAATTAGAGATCTGGGTGTTTGTCCCTTAAAAAAAAAAAGGTGACAAAGTGGTTAATGTCTTTGCAGGTTGGTGTTGATATCGGGAATCTTACTGCCACAGTCCAAATAGAGTACTAATTACTGCGAATGATGTCACCGTAGGCAGAGGAATAATCCCATCATTTAATTAGTTGAATGATTTAAACAAAGATTTGCATAGATGCACTAATCAGTTGCCATGAATTACAGAGCAGCAGTTGCCAGCGAGGGGTAACAGATCATACAGTTGGAGGGAAAAAAAATCTCATCTCCTTGAACATAATTAATTTAATTGTCCTCATTAGCTGTACCATTTGTTTTGATTTTATTTCTCCCTTTCCCCACACATACTTCTCCCTCCCTCCCTCTTTTCTTCTTCTCAGTGCATTGGCTGAGAGAGAACACACAAAACACACACACACACACACACACACACACACACACACAGGGGTGTTTTCAGAGTGGCTCTAGCAGAGAGGTGGGGTAGAACAGCGGGGAGCTGTGCGGATGGGTGAAGTGCATGTGTGTCTGCTTCGGAGGGCCAGAAAAACCAAACTTAAGAAATCTGCCTATGTACAGAACAAGTCAGCTGAAGGGGTTCTCATTAATCTGCCGTCTGTGAATTTCGTTATTTTTCAGGTTAGTTCTGAGTTTTGTTGCCTTTTAAAGGGAGAGGAAAGCAAACCACATGCTATTTTATTATGTCTTCTAAAGGGAGGGGGTAAAAACTAAGTTATCAGTGTTGTGCCATTATTCTTTATGAAGAGAAGCATAATTTAGCTTAAATATTCATGGTGGGGTGCTTTATAAAAAAACTGAAATAGATTAAAACTGCTAGTGCAGAAGAGAAAAAAGTTTTTGTAGTTCAACAATTGAATCTTTCTTGGCTCTGAAAACATTTCAGTAAGTGTCATTCAAATTTGGACCATTTTTAAGCTTGACCTTTGACAAAGCTTTTGTACAATCTGGTGAGGATGCTTTACTTTCAGCCTGAAGGGAGGATGACTTTGAAGTTTGAAACTTAGCAAAATAATAAGATATTCTAAAGCAACCAGTGGCCTTTAAAGATGCAAAGTAAAGAGCAGAGGGAGTGAAGGAGAATGAGACCTATTTCAAGAAAAAAAAAAATCTGTCAAGGCCTTAAAACAAGTCTATGAAGACAAAGTGGTAACGGCGGAGAAACTGGTTCTTTGGCCAAGTTAGTCCTGAAAACACGTTTCTTGGTGCTCTTGGGTGTTTTTCATTGGAGCTTGAGAGTTTTAAATAGTAAGAAATTCAAGTAATTGCAGGAAGTGTGTTTCAGTGGGGGGGGGGGGGGTGGGGGGGGG